CTCCTGTAATATTATCAAACTTCTCAAAAATAACTTTGTGGCTTAGCTTTTATCGTGTGCCACAAATTTTAAACTTTCACTATGAAAATATTCACTCAAAAATTCTGTGCTGTCCAATTGAATGTGAATGCTTTGTGTAAGTTGAAAATCGAACTAAAACCCACGAGTAGAACATTCTTTCTCATTTCTTTTAGTAACAATTGAATGAATATAAAAAAGAACGAATAATTGAAGGAATCCGTATATCAGTATTTGCTGTTTTTACAGAAAAATGCCGCCGCGAAAATCTTGTATCTCACGGAACACACACAGGTCGAAGGCTGTGAGAAAATATAGACAAAAGCAGAAAGATGACTTAGAAAAACTTGAGATCGAGGTATACGAGGCAAGGGTTAAATTGGCTGGGATGCGTCAAAAATACGCTGAATACCTTGCATCTCAGAAACTTCTCGAATCTTCAGAACAAACAGATGCACCTCAAGAAACTCGGAAGAACAAGACCTCAAAGACTGAAATTGACCCAACCGTGGGCAAAAGTTAGTTTTAATAATAAATTTTATTACCTCAATGACCTAATTATAAGGCAACAATAAAAATAAAACTCATTGTATTAAATTCAATCTTTCTGTATTTAAGTAGCAAACATTAACATTCATTAAAAGTACAGAAAAGCCGCACCCTAAAGTAACAAGGCTAAGAAATAAATATAAATAAATCAGTATGGTAATCATTATTAAATACAACATAATAAACATACAAAAAAATAAAATTAAGATAGCAATAAATTAACTTAAAGTAGATTATAGTTTGTCTAAATAAGATAGATTAGTTTGATAAATGACGCATATGAAGTATTGAATTCAATTTGTATGAAGGCAAATGCCATACTTAATAGACAGGTATCATAGTGAAAAAACACACATAGCGTACGATTTTGAATTATTTATATTCGGTTTAAATTATTATCAAACTTAACTAAAATTATTACTGTCTTATTCACTAATTTAGAGGGCAATTCTAGTATTGATTATAATGTAGAGAATTTAGCGATGACAGAAATAATAGCGAAATCCAATTCGATTACGTACGGCTGTAGTAGTAACAAACATTTATTTACTCTCATTATTTGTTATGATCAATGTTAATTTGGGAAAACAGTGTTTGTTTTAGTTCATAAGTTATAACTATAAATCTATCGATTCCAACTTCTATAAGAATAAAAATCGATAAGATTCATGACTGATTTTACACAACCCATCCTTACTAAATTTGAAATGAATTGTCCAAACTAATCTAAATTATTTAGACACTATAGTGAACTAGGTCACAGCTCAATTTGTACCTAGAGGTAATTCACATGAGCTGCAAGTCGGGACAACTTGCACGGCTCTAGTATATATAGTTTAACTGAGTGGTAGCTCAATAGTTCCTGTTAGTGATCTGATAGTTCAGAGCTGATTGACACAAATCTAGCCTTTTAGTGTAATAGTACTTTACTAAAATGAATTGTACACACAATTACTTACCTAACTGTACCTTCACTGCAAACATATTTGTAGATATTTGTTGATTTCTTTGGTGCCAGCACCGATTGTAAAGAATTATGTAAATCATGCAGTTAAGTTATTAAAGCTTTATAAAAAATTCAGTTCATGCTTAAATTTATAACAACCTTATTCTCTATTAATATATTAATATAAAAATAATGAAAATCGACTAACAATAGTAAAATGTACACAATTATGAAATTATTTAAATTATTATATAACACATTGCTTAAATTAATCATTTCTTAACTTTGAGCATTGGACAATTATTAATTATTTTAATTTCGTTCAAATTGTCTAAAATTGTTTACAAAACATTTAATTTCTTATGAAAAAATCTGTGATATTGTTATAGTTGGGTTGCAAATTAATTTCTTTGATTACATCAAAATACAAATCACCATCTTATAACTATCTCAAATATTTTACTTATGTGTAGTATTTGGTCGTCTAAGTTTGTGCTTAGATGTTAACTTAGGTAACTTTGGAATAGGTGATCTAGTCGCAGGGAAGGGTCTAGGCTTAGAGTGTCCACCTAGGCCATCATAAGTTACATCTAAGTTGATATCTTGATTGTGTTGAGAGTCCATTCCAGTAGACTCCTTTTTGTGGAATATACTTGTATTGTTAAATGTTTTCTTTAATATTGATCTCCTCGCTGGCTTGAGGATACCAAATTCCGATGGCTGTAAATATAAATAAATACTAGTTAAAAGTTTTTTTTTTTGTATTTTTTAAATATAACATTTAAATATACACCTAAATATAGTCAAATCTAATGAAGATGGGAATATTATATCTCAAAATTGCTTAGATCATCACCAGCTTACTATACGTCCCCACCGAGGGGCTCAGAGCCTACCCTATTAAGGGGTGACTAGGCCATAGTCAACCACGCTGGCCGAGTACAGGTTGGTTGACTTCACACATATTTTTGAATTTCTTCGCCAATATGTGCAGGTTGCATCACGATGTTTTCCTTCACCGTAAGAACGTCGGGTATATTATGGACATATGAAAAAATCGAAAATCACATTGGTACACGGCGGGATTCGAACCCAAGACCTGTAGATCACAAGTCACGTGTTCAAACCACTGAGCCACTGACGCTCTGCGAAAATTGCTTAGATAGATAAATTAAATTTCTCATATTAATTAAATTCAACCATACTACAAACATTACATGGAAATTGTTACTAGAATTACTAGTTTATTTGCTATGGCCTAATACTGAGAATTTGTTTGTTGTTAGAATTTTAATGTATTAACATACATAAGTGTAAAGTTTAATATTAAAGTTACGGCTAGCAACTTGACACACAGAGTATGAGAAAAATAGAACAGATATCAGAATGTAATCTAAATAAAAAAAAATGTTTTTGTTAGTAACCAGTAAGTTCTGCCCACTTGCACATATAACTTGTAAAACTTGAATAATGTAGTTTTAGTAAGTGTTTTAGATTTAGTGTTTGTGTATTGTACATACTTTTATAGTTTTATTAACAGCTGGAGGGTTTCTCTGCTGCAACACGGCCACAGCTACCGAGCTCTGTTTCAGTCTTAGATATGGAGAGTCGGAATTCTCTATCTCATCCACTAGAGTTGACTGTAAGTAAAGGATTTTAGTAATATTATGAATATATATTTTAGAAATAAGTCCAGTAGTTTTTGTATATTAACAACTTTTGTTATATTCTTGTAAAAAAACATACAGATAAATTGAGTACCTCCTTCTTTTGGGTAGTCGGTCAAAAATGTTGTATAACAAGGAGGTGGCACTAAACTTTACAACTAACATAGTACCTTTAGTAAGTTAACGGTGGATTTGTTCACTATGTCTAGTCTATATGTTTTTGGATTCACATGATTCTTTTATAATGCGGAATAGCTGCCATTTGGTCAGACTTTTTTCAAAAATAAAAACTATTCAATATTTTTAAGTTTCTCTTACAAAAAGCGTAGCAAAATTCGGTGATTTCATCTTGAAGTCTATTTTAGATTTTTGTTCAAAATTTTTTTACAAATATTCCTTTACTAGCTTTCGCCCGCGACTCCGTCCGCGTGGAATAAAAAAAAACAAAAGCAAATAGCCTCTGTTCTTCCAGACTATTCTCTACATCTATGCTAAATTTCATCTAGATCCGTTCAGCAGTTTATACTACAAACTCTCGCAAACATCCATCCATTAAGACTTTGGCGTTTACAATTTTAGTAAGATTAGTTAGAACATATACTTACAACACTAGGGCTGTCAACAATTTTGACATCGTCATCAATCTTTTGCACCTTATTTTGTATATCATTTTCAACACCAAATGCCTGCTCAGCGTCTCTTTTCTGATCTTGAATTACCCTCAGACGGAGTTCTTGGATTTCGTCTTCAGCTGACCTAAATTTATTTTAATTAAAACCAAGAATACACTTGCCAACAGGTGGAACAGTATTCCAGTTACTGGCATAAGCATATACTCGATTCGACAAATAAAACTAATTGAGGCCCTTAAGTGCAAAGTGCAAATTTTGTTCCTTTATCTGACAGTGAGATCATTTTTAAGCTATCTGGGCCTCTATCAGTCAGTGTTGGGACAGGCCCTTAGTGTTTTAAATCTACAGAATTTTGAGCTAAAATATGGCACATAAAATTTATTTAGATATTTTTTATTGCATTAAAGTATATATAAGAATTATTATAAAAATATTTGTACCTTAAAGATTGTCTTACATCAGCGACTTTATTTGTTTCTTCGACAAGCATCTTGGAGACTTCATCAAGTCGATGACGTAATTCATTTTTCTTTGCTTCCGATTCACATAAGGCCCTACGAAATTAAAAAGAATTTCAGTTTTAGTAGACAATAACATTTATAGACATAAATGTCTAACTTTCAGGCAGAATTATTACAGACTAGCTGTCGCCTGTGACTCTGTTCGCGTGGAATTAAAAAAAAAAGCCTGTGTTCTTCCAGACTACTCTCTACATCCATAACAAATTTTATCAAAATCTGTTAAGCTGTTTAGGATACAAATGGTAACAAACATCCATCCATCGTAACTTTTGCATTTATAATATACCGACAATGAAATATTGCATTTTTAACATTATTTGTACAAATAAATCTATAAAGTACTTTAATTTTTAAAAACAATAAAAGATTTTTTTACCTTTTCAATGCCGTTGCAAAAACTGCAACAGTTTTAATATCAGAATAACCTTCCAACATTGTCTCTACCTCACTACTGGTTGCATTCAATACTTTTTGTAGCCTAAAAAAGTAAATAAAAAAGGGCATGGAAAAGACAATTAAAAAAAAAGTAGATTTTTTATTAATTTACTAATATTTCCTTTAACCATTCCAATTAAGCTCTAGGCGTGTGCTAGGACATGGTTCAGAATAGTCGAATTCGAACCCTCGACCGCAAGATCAGTAGTCTGTACCCCAAATCATTAGGCTATTGGCACTTAATTGAATCTCATTACCAAGTTAAAGAAAAAACATCTTACCGATGCATTGTGCTGATATTTTTCTTAAGACTTTGATTCTCATCTCGTAATGCTTTTACTTTTTTACCTTCAGCTTTAAGACAATTGTTGTATTCCTTTAATGCTGAAATAGCGGACTCCTGCTGTACCAACCTTTGTTCACAACTTGATAACACCTCTCTACAAAAATACAGTTATCAAAGTTATTAGTAAACAATTTTGAATAGTTTTCAGTGATTTATTTTCTGTCAGTTTCCTTTTTTATTGCAATACTAGCTGTTCCCGCGCGGCTTTATCCGCATGAAATTACGAAAATTTTATTTTATTGTTAACATTTGTTAAATTATCAATTACAAATGTCGACATGACATGATGACAACCTTACTTCCTTGATGTTGGCAGAAACGTATGGTCTCTTTCACACATTAAGGTTTTTATCAAAAATATTTACCCCTTAGTTTAATGGCGTTAAAATATATAGCCTAAAGCATGACGCAAGTGTAGGGCTTTTTATAAAAAGAAGAATTATTCAAAAATATGCTGTAATTGCTGACATCTTAGGCAACAAAGAAGTGTGTGTTTATGCTTTATTATAATAGTATAGTTATTTGTATGTATTAAGATATTTGTATATAGATATGTATTGAAATAACTCAAAAGCTACTGAACCGGTTTCAAAAAATCTTTTTTCATTAAAAAGCTATGATATCATTCCATAACATAGGCTATACTTTTTATTTCTTATGAACAAAATTCTTGAAGAATTAAAAAAATAAAAAACAGGCAAAGTTGAAATAAAACTAATGATTAAATAATAATAATTAATTTTTCTATTAAGCTTTCTATTCACATTATTATAAGCAGTGTGTAAAATTGTAAATTGCATAACCAAAAGCCTGTAATACATGTATTTCAAATAAGAATTTAATTTCAATCTGGTTAAAGTAACTAGAGAATCAATTAAGAGTAGGGAACGCATCTGCAATTGCGGATGTTTATGGGCAGCAGTCGCTTTCCATTTCGGTGGATTAAGGTGGCCACTTGCTCATTTGCCACCTTATATTATAAAAAAAAAGAACTAGATGTCAATAACATTTTTTTAATTAGAATATGCCATTTCCAAGTGAACTTTAGACGATAAAACTACCTTACTAAGGTGGTTCTACTTACTTATTAATAGCTAATTCAGATTTTAAACTCTTGAGCTTGTCCTCTTTATCTTTGGAAACTTTCTTCTGTTCATGCAGCTGCAGCTGAACATTGTCCAGCCGGGACTGAAGAGTTGCCGCATCATCGCCCGTGTTGTCATTACATATTGTAGGGTACAGACGGAACATACATTTGTCTGTCACCCTGTTGCGGCATTGGGGGCATGATTTCGATCTTAAATTAACATAAAAATGTGTACTATGATATAGATTTTCATTTGTTTTTGTTAAATAATAGTTGGACGTTTTTTTAATTTGCATAATTGATAATTTACGAGTTTATCATACTAATATCATAAATACGAAAGTTTAGATGGATGGATAGATGTTTGTTATAGTGTTTAAAGTTTATATTAAAGTTGGGAGAGATGGCTACTTACTAAGTTTTTTGAATACCGCTTTTGAGACTATAAATTTTAGGTTAAATATTCGATGTTATGCATATTATTTTATCATTCATGTGTGTTCATTAACCAAATCGTTAGAACATACCTTGCTATCCACTGCGCCAAGCAATTATGATGGAACATATGCCCACATTTTATAGCATATATACTCTCAGTTTGGTTTAGTAAGTCGTTACATATCGAACATATCATATGCATTTTTCCTGAAAATAAGACAATAACATAGATACAATAAACTTGAATTTATTTGAATTAAAAGTTAAGAACACGACAGCAGACATTTAATAAAATAAGCAATAAAAAAAACTTAATGTTTTTTTCTGAAACATAGGGTATTTACAATTAAAATCTAACCTACCATTTAATAAATTGCAGGCTTGTTAAAAATATTTTTGTCAACGCCAGAACTAACAGTTCTTATTTCAAACTTGTGAATAGAAAAATCATTTTACTGATTATATTAATTGAATTAACAGGAAAAGTTAAAAAGTAAAATTATAAATGTAAACAAGTAAACACCTTTCAAATCCAAGGGTAGATCCAAAGACTATCAAAAAGCGGAAAGCCATCAAAGAGTAGATCACAGACCACAAACTATAAATGGATAGGCTAAAAGATGTGTTATTTTGGGCTTATTTGATTTTCGCCATCTTAGCGCTGACGGTCGCAATTCTTAATGGTGGTGAAAATCGGTACTGATAACAATAATAGATAGAATTTACTATGGAATGATTTATTAACATAATAATATAACAAAACGAACATTTTAAAAGTTTTTTCAAAGACATTACATAGTCAATGAACGATTATTTATCTTCTGTGTTAATTTCTTCCATTTTCTTCCTTGCAGTCTTTAACTCTTCGAGCATAGTTTTCAACATAGACTTATCAACTAACAGATCTGTAATATTTTGTTCGCCGCTGAATACCTCATCCGAATGAAAAGTCACTTTAACTACATCTATGGTCCCTTCAGGGCCTGGGGCTGTAGTTACATCCGTCAATTTGTTCACTGAAATATAAAAAAAAATCGTCAATATTCAACATGCAAAAGATGCAATATGAGAAAAAGCGGTAGTAAAAACCATCATTTAAATATCTAAGTACACTCTGTAAACATAGATCTTTACCAATGTAAGCTTTTTCTCTAGCATTTTCAACGTATGCTTCACGTGTGTTGTCCGCTGCCTCCGCGAATGCAGCGGCGTGTGCACGCGGCACACCGAGCACGAGCAAGTCACGTGCTAGCTGCACTCCGCTGCAGCCGCAGCGCTGCGCCTGCTGCAGCGTCCAGCGGACAACAGCTGCTGCACGCGCACTCTCCTCACGAGACGCTGAATACAGGAAGTAGGTACTGTTAAAAAAATCAGTACTGCGCTAGATTCGGCGCAACACTAGATCATATACGTCCCTATGTCATCTGTCAATGTCATGCAGAAGGAATTAGGAATTAGCGCGCCATTCTGGCGTTAAGTTAATCCCATTTTTACAATTATACGAGTATTCATGTCAAAAAATAACTCTTTTAACGCTACGAGATTTTAACGGCGCCTTCTATAAACATGATTTGAGGTTATTCGGCTTCAGGTCTGTGGCCTTTTCTGTCCAGAACAATAAACGGTCATCTAATCTCACGTTTCCCTCTTGCCGGTATGATCAATACGAGAACAGAGAAATAATTTTAAAAGAGTTCAGGCACACTTAAACCTGATTTTCAACTTAATGATAAGACGACTGTTATGAGTTATTAGTAGTTGCGCCAGTGGAAATAGGATTGCTTACAGAAATGTTAGTGGAAAAGGAGTGTACGGGGACAGATGGAACTTACCTAAGTTGGTGTTCTTCAAAATCTCCATTATGCCATCTTCCTATAACATTAAAATATTGTATTAAAGTTACACTTTTCAGCTTCTTAACAATAATTGATTTAAAACATGATTTTTTTGGAATAAAATTGAGCAAGAC